GACAGAGGGAATCAGGAGCAACTGTGAAGCCGGGAGGCCTTGTGGGGTCATTGAAGCCCCGGTCACGCGAACGCCTCAACACGGTAGCGAAAGAACCGCGGGAGCCGGGGGAGACGCCTTTGACTCCCCTTATGAAGAAGTCGAACTAGACCATCCCATTGCTCGATCTGTCACAAGTGCAGAAGCACCGGATAAAGATGGCTTGGGTCAGAACACTTGTGTCATATACCAGACAGTCCATCCAGCAGACGACAGCGACAGCGACACGTCCAGCTGTGAAAGTGACAGCCTGCATCAGGAGCGCGTCAACAGCTACAATGACAATGTCACGACTGGCGTTGACAGTGACAAGTTCGAAGCATCTCTTGCGGGGAGTGACGAATCTGATGGAAAGATGGTTGACAATCCGATCTATCAATCTTACGATGATGAGTACCCGTCTTACTAGAACTAAACTAATGATTTGATTTTGAACCAACACACGGCAGATATCATGACTTAAAGATTCATGCAAAGCAATTTTTTTAATGCAATCCTTGAAATGCACCTTTGTATCGTACTTAGCCTATTTTTAATTTTTTTGGTCATTTTCAAGGGTATTTAGAGTCTTTTTTTTTATGTAATACGAATTTCCATAGTCATGAGCAAAAGTCATTTTCAAACGGAAACCTCAATGTTACAGTTATTTCAACACCAAAAGTTGCCAGAATTTGGGATATTTGTTGTCGTAAATTTTGTATTCTTTGCTGATTCGTTGTTGTGTCAGTGCATGGCAGTAAGACAGTGAACACAATTTTCTCAAAGATGTTTTGAATGAGCAATTTTTGTTCGTTCACATTTTGAACGAAAAACCCCTAAAGAAACAGTGTTTTCGTCAAAAACGTGATTATGTGAATTGTTATGATTTGGATATCAAATTAAATAAGAATTTTTTGAAATACTCAAAAATATCATGAAAACAGCACATTGAGTTGTTGGGAAAATGCCAGTGATGTAACACAGCTCCTTTTTGGTCCATTCCAACGGCATTACCACAGTTAAGGTTTTTACACTGTTCCTAAGTGTGCATGAAATTCAAATTCATGTAGTGCACGGTGTCCTAATCCTTTAATACCGAAAAACACGGCACATAATGTGACGAGTACAAACACATTTGATGGAATTACTTTGTATTTTCCACCTGAACAGGTTACTTTTCCTTTTAAGCTCAAATTGCAACCCTTTCAGCATCATAAATATGTCAAAATAGTAAAGAAATTACACAAATGAAAGACAATTGCACAATGGGCTTATAGTATCATGTTTCACTGTTTGAACGACCATTGGAAAGGATTTAAAATCACTTCTTTTACATAATTGATAATTTCTCAGCAACCCTTATGTGCTGTTTTTATGATTTGTGTTCAGTATTTGAAAGAAAAACTCTCAGCTTTAATCTGATATCCAAAACATAAAACATTACAGATCGCGTTTTTGAAAAACAGGCAAATGTTTCAGGGTTGCATTTTTGGGTCACCCTGTATAGGAGGCTATTTACTCATTTTTTTGACTGGGGGACCGTAAAGGACCGACTGAGATTAACAAAATATTATTCATGTACGCCCTAAATTTGCCTCAAAAACGTCGCCATCAATCGAATATGCAATCCAACACTGAAAGACAAAGTAGCCTATAGCTAAATAAATAAAATAAGTTAAATAAGGAAACAAAACGAAAGAAACGCTAAAATACATTGTTCTGTTATGACACATTTTGTTTTGTATTTGCGTGCACAAGTTTCTTTTCTACATTATATGACTGAGTTGCAAAAGGAAAACAGGTGACACTATCACAACATGAGCAGCAAGTTACAAGGTTTAAAGAGCAAGCGATGAATAACTTGGTGACTTGATATCAATTTCGTAGAGGTATATAGTGTTACTTATATTCGCACCACATCAGCTAGTGTCAGTCGCCAGCGTGCAACGAACCAAGCGACACATCAAGATGCTACTCAAGCAACAGCAGGTGCCATGGCAGCCAGCGTCTTGGAGGCACGTCTGCTTCCTTCTGATGAGTGTGGTTTACCTGAGTTGCATTCCTCGAGAAGTGACTCCTCTGTTTCTGACTAGGGGTTCAGGTAGTCCAGCCAATGAGTACATCAATATCATAGAAGGCGAGACACTGTCTATGAACTGCTCCGCTTCAAACACAGATTTACACGAGTTTTGGTGGGGTAAATCGATTGGATCCGAAGACACTGATTGGCTAACGGATAATGCCACTATTTGCACAAATGATCCCCGAGTTTCCATTGCAACTCGCTCGGTTGACGAGCACAGCACATTTTCTTTGCAAATAACCGACGTCACCACATCGGATGCTGGAATGTACAAATGCTATGCCTTGTGGGGAGGTGCTCTCTCGCTTGGAAACATCTTCGTATCGGTGCAGTACTTTCCGGCAGAAAACCCGATATGTGCTGCGAATGAAAGCGATCGGATTTCAACCGAAAGCAGCGCTGTGTGGTGTGACACTGCGATCGGCAACCCTGAGGTCACCATCACTTGGAGAGTGGACACTTCTGACAAGGAAGTCACAGGTAGCGTCCACAGCATAGAATTACCGCAGACCGAACGCGTGAGGAGTGTCGTTAAGCTCGGAGAGCACCTGCAGAATCAAGTCTTGGTATGCACGGTGACTAGTTCAGCATTTCCAGGACAGAGTCGGAGCTGTTCTATCGGTCCCATCTTGTACGCAGGCTCAATGCATACCACAACGGACTTGCCTCCTTCTCCCTTGATCACCGATGAAACTCAGACGGCATACATCGCGGCTGCAGTGGGAATCCCTGCAGCATTCGTTGTCGGCTTTCTGGTTTCCCTGGCGTGCACAAGAAAGCGACAACAGACAGTCAAGAGGCGTAGTAGCGATTCAGTGAAGGAAACGGCCACACCCGTCGGGGAAAATAAACCACCAGACATGGAACTTGCGGTCGTTCCGTACTTGGTAACAACAATGCAAGGCGAGACGATGACGTCAGCGTCACGAGCAAATGACGTCACGGGGGCCAGAGGTCCTGTCCACGCGTACGAAGCTCCGATCGGACCCGCGGAAGTAGCAGACAACGCCGCCTACGAACAGGTGGATCGTTATATCGGCGAGAATGAAGTGACGAGTAGTTACCTGGAACTGCAATAGAACGATCTACTTAAAACCCCGTCTCATGGCAATGGGCCGATCCAGTAAGCTCCGCCCAGTGCGCACGTGGGCAAATTAACACGTGCTCTTCTCCAATGCCACACTGCATTTTCCTTCCGCGCGCATCATACGCGCGTGCACGCATGTCGGACTTTTGTGCACGCATGTCGGACATCAATCACGGCTGTGATTGGTCAGAACACCATGGGGCGGTGCTTACTGGATCGGTCCATTAAAGCCGCGATGTATGATCGACATGCGTACGCGTGAAAGTGCGTATGACGTGCGCGTCTGGCTAGGAATATGCAATTAATTCTATATCTATGGCAATAAGGCATTGGTAGTTAGCTTCTGTAAATATAACTGTGTGTTAAGTGATTTTCTTGGCAAATGGGATAAGAGGATATCGAAACAGTTGCATGATGGTTCTGCCCGATTGGGACAGACGTGGTTCACGTTTACTTATATGTATCTAAAGGGCCCATGCAATCAACATTTTTAAATGCAATCTTCAATGCACCTTTGTGTCCCATTTAACCTTATTTCCAATTTTCGTTTTGCCACTTTGAAGAGTATTTTGGTGCCATTTTGGCTTTTATGCTAATGCAAATTTCCATCTTCGTGAGCAAAACAGTGATGTCATACCGGGCAGAAAAATCAATATTACAGCTATTATAGCACAAAAAGTTGCTAGAATTTTCGATATTTGGCTGTTACAAATGCTATCTTCTTTGGTGATTCGTTGTAAATGCAAGTACATGGCAGTAAGCAAATGAGAAATCCTTTCTCACAAAATGTTCAATGAACAAATTTTAGGTACATAATTTGAACCAAAACCCCCCACTAAACTGTACAGTGTTTTCCAGCAACAGAGCCCTCGATGGTCCGGAAAAGCATCACGACCAATTGTTAATGTTTAAAGAAGTGCACTATTCAATAACATTAACCAGAAACGAATGTCAAATAGTTTTCATACGTTTAAAAGGAGTAGAAAGTTGTACAAAATGTGTTCCTAAGAAAAAAAAATCATCGCGTGGACCCTTTAATTAGTAATAATGTTGAAACACCACATGGCTGGTTGTGTACAATTCACCTATGAACGATGGCCTTTGCAAGACCATATCCGTGAAATCATAATTTTTTTAATTTCCTTTCCTCTTGGGCATGTAATTTGCAAAATTAAAGGAAAATTATAATTCCAGCAAAACATGTAAATTTCACCTAAAACGAGAAAAGTGTAAAATAGTTAAGACTTTTCAGAAATCGCTAAATATTGAAATGATTTATTTTCATGCTTTTATTGCGCCGATTTTGGGTAGCTGATTGTTATCTCTTAAAATTACTACTTAAAGAACAATTTTACTTCAAGTTGTCAATAATTATGTGCTTTTAGAAATTTGCTGATTGTGGAATAAAAATTAAAAAGATTTCTTGCAGTAGCATAATTATTTGAAACTGATGTTTGAAGTTTATTTAACAATAGATAGACATAAATACATTACAAATTTCGTAAACATTGAGAAGAGAATGTTGTTTAAATTATGGTCATCCCTTTAGGTTTCTAAATATTGCTTCTTGATTTTAAAAGAGCCTACAGTTTCAGCCGCATGATTTACTTTGATCAGGGTCTCTGGATTGGAGTGAGTCTTGGGCTGGGCTGGCTTGGGTTGGGTGGACTTGTCTGGTCTGGGATGGGCTTTGATGGGTTTTGGTTGGATGTGGTTTGGATGGGATGGGTTGGGTTGGGAATTTGGGATGGGCTGGGCTCGGCTGCACCGGGCTGGGCCGGGCTGGGCTGGGCTAGGCTGAGCTGAATTAGGTTAAGATGGGCTAGATTGGAGTGGATTGGCCTGGACTATCTGTGCGTGGATTTGCTGGGTTGGGTTGGGTTGGGCTGGGCTGGGCTTGGCTGGGTTAGATTGGGGTGGGCTGGGTTCGGTTGGGGTGGGCTGGACTGGACTGGGTTTGTGGTTATCCGGACTGGGCTCGGCTTGGATGGGGTCGGTTGGATCTGGCTTGGCTGGACTGGGCTGGGTTGGGCTGGGGCTTCGCTCAGCTTGTCTTGGTTTGGCTTGGCTAAGCTCAGCTCTGCTTGGCTCGAGTCGGTTCGATTCGATTCGGGTCTCTTTTATTAAGAGGAGGGGCTGATAACGGGAGTAAATGTGTACAGAAACATCATGTGAAAGAACTATCCCTTAACAAAAGTGCCTCGGTACATGTAGTACGTGGGATGCGGAGGTTGAATGAACCAGTTTGGTATTCCGAGTACGTGACGGGATTTCCTGTAGCACTGGTGCGATTTGGCACAAACAAGGAAACGAAAATGAACAAATGGGCGATTAAGAAAATACAAAAAACTATACATAGCGAACACAGGAAATATTTATTAATAAAACAGACGTCGATTAGATCACTGCAAGTGAGAAAGTATTCCGACCACGTTATATATAGGCTTCAGTTCACTTCATGCTCATACCTCAGGCATTGTGCCATTCTGTCCATAGAGAAAAAGCAAAGGCCCGACGTGAACACAGTCCAAAAGATGTTACAGCTGCACGGACGACAGTACACCACAAAGAGAAATACCAAGAGTGCAGGGAGCCATTTTCTTCCGAGACAGTCGGCTTCTTTCCAGCAGTTTGCATCTCAAAACAAGACATTTTGTTTGGATTTTAAACGTCTTAATTGGCGGTCTCTACTGTTAATATGGCACGAAATCAGGCATCTGCTATCGTTCCGTCTCTCGTACAAGTTGTGTTGGGCTGCTTTCTTTTGACGACTGTGTTTGGTTCTAGTGAAGGATTGGGAGAGGGCGTTGTGATACTGACGCGGGGCTCGCAAAAACCACCAACTGTTACTGTAGCGGTTGTGGAAGGTGGCACATTAATTATGTATTGCTCTGTCTCAACAAAAATGCTACAGGATGTTTCGTGGGGAAAACTGAAAGAGAATGGTACAGTGTTTTTGACGGCTAATGAAAGTAATCTCGGTGCTGATTCTCGTGTTTCAATTTCAAGGAGTGCGAGCTTCAACTGGTATAACAGCACTTATCGTACTTACACTATTCGAATAAGTCCAGTAGAAGCTTTGGATGCTGATATTTACTTGTGCAGCGCCAGATGGAAGATAAATAACACTCATAATAATTCCTCTGATGGTAAATTGATAGTGTCTGTGACTGGCTTTCAAAATGGCATCCCTACTTGCTGGTCAACGGGCAATTTCACCAATCGCACTTTGGTTTGGTGCGAGACTGAGCATGCCTACCCCGGCGTGAACATCACCTGGACGGTTGAAGAGACTGGCCAAGTTGTCTTGGTCACCAGGGCTGACACGGGCATGGATGCCAGCGGACGGAAATGGGCCTGGAGTTTTTACCAAGTCAGCCGAGAACTGCAGAATCAGGTCCTGGTTTGCACGGTCGAGAGTCCTGCATTTCCGGGTCGGAACCAGACCTGTTCTGTCTCCCTACCCATGAAGAATGTCTCTACCACGGTAAACCCTGACGCGACGTATGCCCAGACGGAATTCACGAGGGAGTCTTCAGAAACAACACCTGCAACAGCCTCAGGTGCGACCACGACGACACTGCAAAGACCTGATACCACGAAAGTTTCCTCAGACTTTTCAGGGTCAAGGCCAACTCTACAAAACGACTATGCACCCACAATCGGACAGCTAACCTCTACGACCGTCAGAGCCATTCCCGAGTCATCGCCCGATGTTGTCACCATTTCCGCCGCCGTGCTGATTCCTTCGTTCACCCTTCTCCTCGTTGCTTTGCTGCTTTGTATTCTGAAACGGAGGAGGCGTCAACCGGGAGCTAACGGAAGAGGGAAGAACAGTAGAACGACGACAGAGGGAATCAGGAGCAACTGTGAAGCCGGGAGGCCTTGTGGGGTCGTTGCAGCCCCGGTCACGCGAATGCCTCACCACGGTAGCGGAAAAACCACGGGCGCCGGGGGAGATGCCTTTGACTCCCCGTATGAAGAAATAGAACTAGACCACCCCGTTGCTCGATCTGCCACAAGTGCAGAAGCACCGGATAAAGATGGCTTGGGTCAGAACACTTGTGTCATATACCAGACAGTCCATCCAGCAGACGACAGTGACAGCGACACGTCCAGCTGTGAAAGTGACAGCCTGCATCAGGAGCGCGTCAACAGCTACAACGACAATGTCACGACTGGCGTTGACAGTGACAAGTTCGAAGCATCTCTTGCGGGGAGTGACGAATCTGATGGAAAGATGGTTGACAATCCGATCTATCAATCTTACGATGATGAGTACCCGTCTTACTAGAACTAAACTAATGATTTGATTTTGAACCAACACACGGCAGATATCATGACTTAAAGATTCATGCAATGCAATTTTTTTTAATGCAATCCTTGAAATGCACCTTTGTATCGTACTTAGCCTATTTTTAATTTTTTTGGTCATTTTCAAGGGTATTTAGAGTCTTTTATGTAAATACGAATTTCCATAGTCATGAGCAAAAGTCATTTTCAAACAGAAACCTCAATGTTACAGTTATTTCAACACCAAAAGTTGCCAGAATTTGGGATATTTGTTGTCGTAAATTTTGTATTCTTTGCTGATTCGTTGTTGTGTCAGTGCATGGCAGTAAGACAGTGAACACAATTTTCTCAAAGATGTTTTGAATGAGCAATTTTTGTTCGTTCACATTTTGAACGAAAAACCCCTAAATAAACAGTGTCTTCCTCAAAAACGTGATTATGTGAATTGTTATGTTTTGGATATCAAATTAAATAAGATTTTTTTTTCAAATACTCAAAAATATCATGAAAACAGCACATTGAGTTGTTGGGAAAATGCAGCTCCTTTTTGGTCCATTCGAACGGCATTAACACAGTTAAGCTTTTTACACTGTTCCTATATGTGCATGGAATTCATGTAGTGCACTGTGTCCTAATCCTTACAGAAAAACACGGCACATAATGTAACGAGTACAAACGAATTTGATGGAATTACCTTGTACTTTCCACCTGAACAGATTACTTATCCTTTTAAGCTCAATTTGCAACCTTTTCAGCATCATAAATATGTCAAAATATTAAAGAAATTACACAAGTGAAAGACAATTGCACAATGGGCTTATAGTATCATGTTTCACTGTTTGAATGACCATTGGAAAGGATTTAAAATCACTTCTTTTACACAATTGACATTTTCTGAGCAACCCAATATGCTGTTTTCATGATTTTTTTCAGTAATGGAAAGAAAAAAACTATCAGCTTTAATACGATATCCAAAACATTAAACACTACAGTTCGTGAATTAAAAAAAAGCAAATGTATCAGGGTTGAACTTTTTGAGTCACCCTGTATATAGGAGGCCATTAACCCGTGTTTTGACTAGAAGGGAGGGATAAGACAGTAAAGGATCAACCGAGATGAACAAAATATATACATGTACACACTAAACTTGCCTTTAATATTAAAAAGTCGCCATCAATAGAATATGAAATCCAACACCTAAAGGGTTAGTGTGTGTTAGCAAAGTAGCCTGCAGCTAAATAAATAAAATAAGTAAAATAAGGAAACAAAACGAAAGAAACGCTGAAATACATCGTTTTGTATGACACAGTTTGTTTTTCATTCGAGTGGACAAGTTTCTTTTCTACATTATATGACTGAGTTGCAAAAGGAAAACATGTGACACTATCACAACATGAGCAGCAAGTTACAAGGTTTAAAGAGCAAGCGATGAATAACTGGGTGACGTGATATCAATTTCGTATATGCATATCGTGTTACTTATATTCGCACCACATCAGCTAGTGTCAGTCGCCAGCGTGCAACGAACCAAGCGACACATCATGATGCTACTCAAGCAACAACAGGTGCCATTTCAGCCAGCGTCTTGGAGGTACGTGCACTTCCTTCTGATGAGTGTGATTTACCTGGGTTGCATTCCTCGAGAAGTGACTCCTCTCCTTCTGACAAGAGACCCAGCTAGTCCAGCCAATGAGTCCATCGATATCAAAGAAGGCGAGACACTGTCTATGAACTGCTCCACCTCGGGTAAACATTTACAGGACGTTTGGTGGGCTAAGTCGATTGGATCCAATGACACTAATTGGCTAACAAAGAATGCCATAATTATGACTAATGATACCCGAGTTTCCATTGCAACTCGCTCGTTTGACGAGCGCAGCACATTTTATTTGCAAATAACCGACATCACCGAATCAGATGCTGGATGGTACAAATGCCATGCCGAATGGGGAGGTGCTTACTCGTTTGGATACATCTTCGTATCGGTGCAGTACTTTCCGGGAGAAAACCCGATCTGTGCGACGAATGACAGCAATCGGATTTCAACCGAAAGCATCGCCGTGTGGTGCGACACTGCGATCGGCAACCCTGAGGTGACCATCACTTGGAGAGTGGACCATTCTGACAAGGAAGTCACAGGTTGCATCTACAGCACGGAAAAACGCGTAAGAAGTGTGGTTACACTAGTGGAACACCTGCAGGATCAAGTCTTGGTATGCACAGTGACTAGTTCAGCATTTCCAGGACGGAATCGGAGCTGCTCTATCGGCCACATTCTGCCAAATACCCCAACCACGACCGTCAGAGCCATTCCCGAGTCATCGCCCGATGTTGCCACCGTTTCAGCCGCCGTGGCGATTCCTTCGTTCACCCTTCTCCTCGTTACTTTGCTGGTGTGTCTTTTGAAAAGGAGGAGGCGTCAACCAGGAGCTAACGGAAGAGGAAAAGACAGTGGATCGACAACTAATACAGGCAGGAGCAACTGTGCAGGAGGGAGAATTTGTGGGGCCTTCATTGCAACCCCGATGACGCAAATGCCTCACCACGGTAACGTCAGAATCACGGGAGGCGTGGAAGTCGCCTTTCACTCCCTGTATGAAGACGTCGAACTAGACCATCCCGTTGCTCGATCTGCCACAAGTGCGGAAGCACCGGAAAAAGACGGTTTTGGTCAGAACACTTGTGTCATATACCAGACAGTCCATCCAAACGACAGCGACTGCGACACGTCCAGCTGTGAAAGCGACAGCCTGCATCAAGAGCGCGTCAACAGCTACAACGACAATGTCGTGACTATCGGTAACAACGACAAGCTGGAAGCATCTCCAGCGGGGAGTGACGAATGCGATGGAAAGATGTTCGACAATCCAATCTATGAATCTAACTGATAATGAGTACCCGTCACACCCGAACTAAGTCAATCATTTGGTTTTGAACCAACACGTACACGGTAGATATTACGCTAAGGTTTAGGAACACAGTATCCAACTCCCAGTGCCAGCTTTAGGTAAGACATAGGCAGGCCAACTTGACAGTTTTCGAGTCGAGCCCATTACAAATTCAAACAAAGTCCATCGAATATCAGTCATAAGTCCTCCAACCCCAAGCCAACTCACAAGTTATTCAAATGAACTGGGACAAAGACATTCCTTTGAATTGTATTTGTATGTCCTCTGCCACTTGT